AGGAATGATATGAGCTGGCCCTGAGCCTTTACTCATCCTTAATTTGTTTCTTTCATTACCTACTTCTTTCATATTAGGAAGAAATGTGTCACTTGTTCTAATTACCAGATCATTAGGCCTCTCAACAGAGACTCATAATATTCTAATTCAGAGGCAAAACAGAATTAGCTAAACTGAGTGGAGGATGTGTTTTAATCCAAAATGAACTGATATCGCAGTTATAAACCTTTGAAATTAAATACATAAAATGGTAGTAGCAATTATAGCTGCCTCTAGAACTAGAAAAATATATTCCGAATATTTCCAAGTTGCTAAGATACCATTTGAGAAATGAATATGGATTTGTTAGAGGCTTGTCTTTGAATTTGTATATTGAAAAAAATAGATATCCTTGAAGACAAAGATTATAGATCTAGTTGTACACTGTGTAAAAAATTTAAACAGAATGTCTGAAATATGTACAGTTTCCACACCTAAAAGTATATTAAGACATGTGTGTATGTATATATTTATGAATACATGCTGTCTATAAGTGTATATATTTGTATATACACACATATACAGAACATGCTATATAACTTCAAATTTCCTTTCTTTTTCATTTATAAACTAATGGCAAATTATTTCTTTTTGTTCTTCTCACAGCTGAATTTTTATTCCTCTTGTGGGGTGTTTATCTCTGCTATGCAGTGCGGACAGTCCCATCAGCATTTCATGAGCCACGTTATATGGCTGTTGCAGTTCACAATGAGCTCATTATCTCTGCTATATTCCATACAATTAGGCAAGTGATCTGTAGATCTAGTAATTAACTGTTTATCTTTCAGGTTTCTTATGATGCAATTTAAAAATGGTAAATTGGATAGGATGCATAATAGAAGGTCACGTAAATATTTGAATCTGCAAAATAAGCAGTTATTAAACATCAAAATGTTCCCATAGCATTGGAAAATATGTACAGTCGACTTATTTGTCATGTAATTAATTTTTTCAGAATAGTAATTGATTTGTTACTGGCCAATTAGATTTAAAAAATCAGTCTCTGTGATACAGCAGATTTCTTAGAACAACTGCCTGTCTTGATTCATTTGCACACTGCACACTGGTTTGTATCGCTAAGAAATGCGGATAAGCGTATTGATTTATGTGAATTCACCATGGTGTGTAAAAGACTGGCAAGTTAAAATCCTGGGTTTAAGAAAATTGTATTAGTTTGTGCATGAAGCATAATGATTTATATGCTGCAAATAAAAAATCAACACTACTACTACTATTACTAATATAGTGAATATTTATAGGATACTGTAGCAATATTTATGAAAAAGACATTCATTATGAAGTATATTGAGCCTTGAATTCCATAGTGGTAAATAAGAATAACAAACAAGGGTTTCTGCTAGAGTTACATGAAAATGATCCATTTGATTTTTTTTCCAAAACTTTCACTGCAAAAAAATAAAATAAAATCTCCAGGTAAACCTAACATGATGCTCGAGATTCAGTATCTTTTGGGCAACCTCCACACCTCTCAAATTTTCCTCATCAGATCTCTGCTGACAATGTTCACATCTACACTCAGTGCCCTGGCTCCATCTTTCTGCCTCAAGCTCATCTCTCTCTCTGCCTTTCTGATACCTTCCTTTATGATTCACCGGTTCCTCCAACCAAACACAGTAAAAACAAACCTTGTCATCTTTCCTTCTTCTAAACAAGTGATTCTCAACCAGAGTGCCATAAAATTCTGGGGTGCCTTGAACTCTTTTCACAGGTGCCATGGGGTGCCATACAATGTTAGCACTGTTAGATGTGCAAACATGACTGGCAAAATAAACCAAAGATTTCAAACAGGAATCCATAGTGTCAAAAACATTCTGACCAGCTATGATCTTTGAGTTTTTTGCAACAGAGAATTGATCTATTATTTTTCTGTAGTCAGAAAAGAGTGAAAACTAAGTGGTGGTGTTTTCTGAGGGCTGCCTCAAGCCTATTAAACAGTGCCTCAAGTCTGTCAAGGTTGAAGATCACTCTTCTAAACTCTCTTTTTATTTTCTCTGTCTCTGCTGAGAATTCTGCTCTGCCATTCCAACTTGCAGCCTGAGCCCAGGTACGGACATTACACTTTTACCAGTATAAATCATCGGAAACTGGTGTGCCCATAATAGAACAGAAGTTTGGCATGCACAGACTGGTTTAAAAATAGCAGAACCCAGACTAAGATTTGTTCCCCCCATACCAAAGAGTGGAATGCGTGTTCTGTTTACAACCCATCTAAACTACGCTGCTTATAGAAAACTGCGTAACTTAGATTGATTCTGTCTCAGGCTTTTTGAATGCCTGTACCTAGCCTCAGTGTTTTCTTCAACATCTCTTTCTCCTTTACTCTCATAATCTGTCCACATACTAAATCTTCTTTTTTGTCTCCCTAATACAGGGGTGGTTTACATATAATGTGTTCCACAAGTGTCATGGGCAGCCTGTGTGTGGCACATGGCAAATGAGGGAGGAGACAGGCAGCAAAGCAGCATGGAAGCAGAAAGGGCACAGATCAGGGAGCAAGAAGCAGAGCAGCAGACTGAGCAGGGAGAAAGGATGGGACTGGAGAGTGTGAGCCTAATTTGTGGCACACTTGCCAAAATACAAATACACGCAAAAAGAAAAAAAGACCATATTTTGCAAACACGTAGATGTGGAATCTTCTTTTAGCTCCTGGCTGCCAAAATAGATATCAAAGTTTTATTTGTGATATATATTTCTAACATTTCTGTGGCTATAGAAGGGTATTCTCTCTTCCTACCAGAATCACAGTGAATCTTAGCCACCATGGTTATTTTTCTTATGGTCTATTTTTTAACAATTGGAAGCATATCTGGTGTCATAGAGAGGACATGACTCCACCTATCAGGGTGCTAGTTATTGTGTGGGTGGGGATTTGAAAGGCCCCTCTGCATTACAATGTTCTTATAGCATAGCTGTGTGGGGTTAGTGTGTGAAAAGTTCCCACCCCATGACCAACACAGCCATACCAGGAAAACTCCCAGGTGGACTTAACTCTGATTAAGTCAGAGAGGCAGAAGGAAGTATCTACCACAGAATTTGTGTCTTTTGGGAAAGCTGGTGTAGCTCTAGCATGGGAACAACTGTCACCAGCAGAATTGCATCCACACGGGGGGGCTCAGCCACATTAGCGCTGCCCTTGTAGTATAGATATAGCCCAGGATTGCAGGATATCATGGAACTGGGGGTTGAAGAATTGCATGGGACAGGGGACTGTGTACAGAATGTCCTCCTCTCCATTCCCAAGAACTTCTCTGGAAAAACTAATACAACGGTTTGGGGGGGATAGAATTCTTCTCTGTTCAGTAGATTTGATTTAATTTCCTTTCTGATCAGCTCTGCTTTTCAAGTCTGGTAGATTTCCAGGCTTTTTTTCTTTTTAATATTTTTTTTCTTTTTAATAGTCCTTACAATGGTCAGAGCAGCTGGCATTAAATGAACATTCAATTCCATTGAGATCTCCTGTCTTTTATTAACTAGATGAGCTAGCTCTGATAGAGTGTGTGTGTGTGTGTGTGTGTGTATATATGTGTGTGTGTGTGTGTGTGTATATATGTGTGTGTGT